AATGAAGAAACGAGGGCCGCTGGATAGACGAAGTCCTGGAACGCATCCCGAGCCAATCGCATCATGACCTCTCTCTCGTCCTGGGGCAGCGCCAGCCCAGGTTCCGCCAGCTGGACGAGGTGGCGGGCACCATGGACGTGGCGGTGAGCTTGCGCCTCTGCTGGGACGACCCGCGCCTGGCGTTCGACGCCCAGGACGCCCGCGGCAGGCCCAGGGGAAGTCATCCACCACGAGGTCGGGTCTTCCAGACCCGGAGCTGTCTGGGAGTCCGAGGTGGCCGAGCACTGGTCCTGGGCAGCAGGAACGGGGTGGGGCAGGGTTCGAGGTCCTGGGTTCGGGACAGTCGTTTGCCTTCTTCGCTCTCCGGGGGCCGCTTTCGGGTCCCGGGACCGTCACGAACGGGCCTGGAGCGACATATTTGTGCCAGACGGACCCCATGTGGGACCCCTGGATTTGGTTTGAGCGGATTGGGCGTCATGGCCAATTCTCCGGGGCCCCGACCAGTTCAGACCCCGTCAAGTTCCAGGCTTCCCTCGGCTGAAGCACTGTGAGGGGCAACGATCGGGGGGGACTGGCATGGGGGGGGGGTGGATCGACCTGGACTCGGCGATACATCGGCGATAGATCGGCGATAGGCCCCTGATAGTGAATCCGCGCGTTCCTGGACAGGTTGGGGCTATAGGACCCCAATCGACGATCAATGGGCGACTGGGGGTCGATGCATCCCCCCCCCCTATGCCTATCCCCCCCCTATCGTTGCCCCTGGCACTGTCACTTGAGCGACGGAAGAAACGGGTTCGACTGCTCGGACCTTCGCGCGTGAGCTGCCCGCGCAAGATCCGGGCGTAGACGCCCTCGCTTCCCGTGTATAGCGTTTCGCGCTGGCGGCCTGTGTGAGCCACCGCGTGAGGTCGCTATGCCATCGCGCGTCAGCCCCGCTTCGTTTCGTCGCTCGCCTGGGAGTCCCAAAACCGCGCGGTGACAGATCTTGCGGTCAGTCGTCACACGGCTTTTTGGGACCCTGGAGGCCCGAGTCGTCCGAGACGTGCGGTGATCCTGAATCCCCAAAGTTCCCTGACCCCGAATCCCCACGTATCTTTGGTTTGAACTCGCTGGGCGGGATTGTGCGCGTGCGTGGGTGTTTCTGGATCGTCGCAGCTGACCTGGTCTTGACTTCCCAGCTGAAGACCGCCCCCGGCCAGGGTCAGGTCTGCCAGTCTGGTAACAAATCTGATTTTGGCACCTCGGACCGCGAATCTAGGGGTCGTTGGTGGGAGTGCACGCGCGATATGCTCGCGTCCCCGAAGATTGGGGTCGCCTTGACAATGTCAGATTGAAGCAGTTGTCGTTTTTGTTTGTTTGTTCTCTGGCGGGCCCCACCCTGCTGGGGCTGCCTTTAAAAAAGTGTGGCGATCAGGTTTCAGCAGTTTTGCAACTGTGGTGAGCCAGACACGGCCTGGTACGCGTCTGGAAGTGCGCTAGCCCCAGAGCCACTGCCACGCGAGGAGAAGTGTTTCCCACGGAACTGATCGAACAAACCCTTGTTGACGGGCCAGGGCCTACCCGCTCTCTTTGGCAGAGCGTGGCTTGTCTGTGTTGACGCGTCTTGCGAGCCTCCTGCCTCGTTGTTGCAGATCACTTTCTGTGGCCCTGACGTGGCCCCTTATGAGGTGAAGTTCCATCCTGGCGCATTTCTTTTCCCTAGCGGGTCTTCATTTCTTTTCTCTAACCGGTCTTTGCGTCCTCCCTCAACTCAGCGACCCCTCCCGAGCAGGAGCTAGCGTGGAACAGGTTGACGCGAGGGGTGACGTTGGAGGAGGACGAGGAGGAGGAGGAGGAGGAGGAGGAGGAGGAGGAGGAGGAGGAGGGGGGGGAGGAGGGCGCCAGAGCGCCCCTCCGTGGCCACGTGCTTCAGTTGAGCGTCGCCGCCGGGCATGCCGCGAGCTCGCGCGCGGCCCCGCCCCCAATGATTCGGCGAGTGATAAGTCTACGACGCGTCGAGGCGGGAGCGCCACTTTCAGAGGAAATCTGCGTCCCTCCCTCCCTCCCTCCCTCCCCCCTTCCCCCCTCCCCCCCTCCCCCCCTCCCCCCCTCCCTTTCTCCCTCCCTCCCTCCGCGGCGCAGGGGCTAACACTATCTTCCGCTTGCTCGCGCGTCGACGAACTGGCGACCGAAGCGTGCAAAAGTGCGCCGCGCTCAAGCGACAGTCTATGCTCAGGGCGAGGGCGACATTTTGTTTTTCCGCAAGGGATGTGCGGGAACCGTGAAGCTTGCACTGCGCAGCTGCACGCGGCAAGCCCCGCCGACCTGCCAGTTCAAAATCGTAGCGGGAGGGATGCTGAGTGTAGGAAGGGCGCAGATTTGACGACCCGTCAGAATTGGAACGGGTCAAACATTCGACATCGTCTTCGTCCACATGGTCGGCGGGAGGTCTAGTTTACGCACCGCTGCTGTTCAGCCACCAGTCTGAACTGAGGCGGGTTGAGATTTTGACCTCATCTTCGTTCGCGCGGTAGGGGGAGGAGGACGAGGAAGAGGAGGAGTAGGAGGAAGAGGAAGAGGAAGAGGAAGAGGAAGAGGAAGAGGATGATGATGATGATGATGATGATGATGATGATGATGATGATGATGATGATTATGATGATGATGATGATGATGATGATGATGATGCTGATCATGATCATGGTCATGGTCATGATGATGATGATGATGATGCTGATGATGATGATGATGATGATGATGATGATGTTGATGATGATGATGATGATGATGATGGTGATGATGATGCTGATGCTGATGCTGATGCTGCTGTTGATGCTGATGCTGATGCTGCTGATGATGATGATGCTGATGATGATGATGATGCTGATGCTGATGCTGATGCTGATGATGATGATGATGATGATGATGATGATGATGATGATGATGATGAGGAGGAGGAGGAGGAGGAGGAGGAGGAGGAGGAGGAGGAGGAGGAGGAGGGGGAGGAAGGGGAGGGGGAGGAGGAGGATAAAGGGGGCGAAGCTGAAGACATGGAGGTAAAGGCCTCTGATGGGCTCTCTGGGAGTTTCCTGGGAGCCTGCAGGGGGCCTCTTGGGAGCTTCGTGGGGCTTCCGAGTGGCAACTTAGAGCCATTGGGAAGTATTAAGGGACTCTTGGCCCGCGCGATCCCCTCGGCAGCCGTCTGGGGGGCCCCTCTGCTGCACCGGTTTGGTGTGTTCTTGGCGCGCTTTTGGGCAAAGGCTGTTGGGCCGTCGCGGGGTCCCATTCGGCCGACTTGGGTCCCGTTTTGAGGGCCTCATCAGCTGTCTTGAAAAAGCTGCCTTGGAGGCCCTTTGGGCCGTTCTGGTCTGTCGGAAGCCCAACTAGGCGAGAACCTCAACTTCATTGAACAGCCATCAGACGATCATGTGTTCGCCTCCTCGAATGTCTCATGTGGTCTCTTGGGGGCCTCTTGGGGCCTCATGGGGATCTGAGGAAGTCGTCTGACGTCCTCAGTGGCCGTCTCGGGGGCCTCTTATGGGCCGTATCGATGCCGTCGCAGCGCGCTTGAAGGCCGTCATGCGGCCCTACTGGGAGGCTCTTCGCTTGGGGCAGTATCTTAGGGTAGTTGCCGCCCGCTAATTTTCTTTACGCTACGGTCAGCTGACATCAACTTGGTATAACTTACGGCCGCCCCAAGAACGTTTTCCAATTGTGTGTTAAGTTAGGTCTGGTTGACTTGAGTGAGGCCGCGAGTTTTCGAGCGAGCAGCTCAAAACCGCGGTGGCGGAAGTTCGCGCGCGCACCGCTCCGCGCGCAGGAAAACGTAAGTTTTGTATATGGCCCATGGCGCGGTAGTGACAGGCATGGTAACAAGACGGTGCCGACTAACATGTACAAGGAGAATATGTTTGTAGTATGGGTATGCACTGTCAGGAACTTGTGCTAAGCGTGCCGCCCCCCGCCACGCTTCGGCGCGACATGCTAATCACGCCACGGCCCCCGAGCGTCAACGTTCTGAGCCTTTTCCCACAGCGTATTTTGGAACGTCGACGACAAGACGTCCATGTTGAAAGCCTGAACGTAGACTCCGCATTTCGTTTGTGGTGGGCAGGGTGGAGCGTTTTAGATTCGCAAGCTATCTGCCGGTTAGGTAAACCATATATGTAAGAGAACCACGGATGAAGGTACATTTTCGGACGTTCGCACGGACCTCCGAAAGATTCTCTGAATGCCGCTCTTCAGTCTCTGACGAAGTGATAAGGCCAGGAGCAGGTGGAGGACCAGGAAGGGTGACCCCCGCTGAAGCACGGGTGCCGAGAACGCCCGCTGGCCTGCGCAAGAAACGGGCGACTCTCGCCGTCCTCGGGCAGCCCGCGTCGTGACTCCCCTCGCGCTGCGGCGAGCATCGCCCGCGGAGGAGTTCTTCGGCATCAACTGGACCCACGAGGGGGACAAGGCTCGGCCAGGGGGAAGCCGGGAGGAGAGAGAGGCTTTCTACGGAATGTGGGAAATACGCACACACATTCTTTCTCGCTCACGCACAAACACACGCACAAACACATAGGTACACACATACACATGCACGCGCACACGCACACGCACACGCACATGCGCACACGCACAGGCACAGGCACACGCACACTCACAAAAGCACGCACGTACACACAACCACACACACAACCACACACAATCACACACAATCACACACACAACCGCACATAACCACACACACACATCAAACACACACATGGAGAGAGAGAGAGAAAAGGGGTGGTTAGTGTGGTGCACATGTGCACGTTTGTATGTGTGTAAACTATACTTATTCCTACACACATGTTTTCATATACATACATACATACATACATACCTACACATGCACATCTATACATATGTGTGTGCAAAATCTATCTATATATACATATCTATACATAATTACATACATACATGTATGTATGTATGTATATACATCTATATATATGAATCCATGTACTCTCGAGGCCGTGGAGGCCATTGTCATGGCGTTCCACATGTACAACACTGCACGTGTCTCGCATCCGCCGTCGCCCCAGCAAGAGGAGTGGGCTGGTCATCTATACGAAATTCGACGAGCAGCAGTGGCTCTCGTGGAGTTGACTAGAGTGCCCGCGTAGGCCTCGGAAGGACCCTAGTGACGCCCCTCAGGTACGAGCGATATATATATATATATATATATATATGAGTCCATGTATTCATACATATACATATACATATACACATTTATATGTATACTTATACATACACATACGCGCGCGTTCTGTAGGCGCTCGGGGTGGTTGGAACCAGGTCCCCCCCTCCTGGTTCAAAGGGGGAGGGCCTCGGCTTCCTTCCTCCCCCTTAAAGGGGGTGGTGTTCGAACCTGTCCCACCGGGCCCTGCCAGCGCCAGCGGCGGCCGGCGGCGACGGCGACGGGGATCGGCGTCGACGAGGACGACGAAGACGACGACGACGACGGCGACGACGACGACGATGGCGATGGTGACGACGACGACGACGAAGACGATGACCACGACGACGACGCCGACGGCGGCGGCGGCGACGAACACGACGACCACCACGACGACGAAGACGGCGTCGACGACGACGACGAAGACGACGACGAAGACGGCGACGACCACGACGACGACGACGCTGATGAAGATTTCAGCGACGACGACGGCGGCGATGAGCAACGACCATGCCGATGATTACGACGACGACTACGGCGACGATGACGACGACGAGGACGACGACGGCGACGACAAACGACGACGACAAGCAAGACGACGATGGCGACGACGACGACGACGTCGACGACGACGGCGACGGCGGCGACGACGCCGACGACCACGGTGACGGCCGCGACGACGGCGACGGCGATGACGAAGACGACGACGACGCGACGACGACGACGACGGCGCGCCGACGACGACGACGACGATGACGGCGAGCGCGGCGACGACGACTGCGGCGACGACGACGATGACGAAGACGGCGAAGACAGCAACGAAGACGACGACGACGTCGGCGACGACGACGACGGCGATGACGGCGGCGACGATGACGACGACGACGACCGACGGCGACGGCGACAACGACGACGGGCACGAGAACCACTATTGCGACGACTACGACGAGCACGACGTCGACGACCACGACGATGGCGATGACGGCGACGACGACGACGACAGCGACGGTGACGACGATGACGACGACGATGGCGACGACGATCACGACGACAACGACAGCGACGACGAAGGCGACAACGACGACGACGATGACGACAGCCACGACGACGACGACGGCGACGACGACGGCGACGACGACGACGACGGCGGCGACGACGGCGGCGACGACGACGACGGCGACGACGGCGACGGCGACGACGTCGGTGGCGGTGACGACGACGACGACGGCGACGACGACGACGATGATGACGGTGACGACGACGACGCTGGGTGCGACGACGCCGACGACGACCACGGCGACGAAGACCACGACGAAGTTGGCGAAAACCACGACGGCGACGGCGGCGACCACGACGACGACGAACACGACGATGACGACGACGACGGCCACGATGACGACGACGGCGGCGACGACGACGGCGACGACGACGACGACGGCGACGACGACGACGGCGACGACGACGACGGCGACGACGACGTGGACGGCGACGACGACGACGACGTTGACGAGGACAACGGTGCCGACGAGCACGACGACGACGGAGAGTACATCTGCGACGACGGCGACGGCGACGACGATGACGAAGACGGCGGCGACGACGACGGCGATGACGGCGACGACGACGACGACGACGGCGACCACGACGGTGACGACGACAACGACGGCGACGACGACGACGACGACGGCGGTGACGACGACGCCGACGACGACGACGACAACGATGACGACGACGACGACGACGACGCCAACGGCGACGACGACGACGGTGACGACGAAGAGGACGACGACGATGACGACGGCGACGACGGCGACGATGACGACAACCACGACGACGACGACGCTGGCGACGACGACGATGACGACGACGATGATGACGACGGCGACGGCGACGACGACGACGGCGAGCACGGCGACGAAGACGACGACGACGACGAGGACGACGATGACGGCTGTGACGACGTCGTCGACGACGACGACGATGGCGACGACGACGGCAACGATGAAGGCGACGACGACGACGGCGGCGACGACGATGCCGACGACGACAACGATGACGACGTCGGCGACGACGACGACGATGTCGATGACGACGACGGCGACGGCGACCACGACGACGACGACGACGAGCACCACGACGACGACGACGATCACGGCGGTGACGACGGCGACGACGACGGCGGCGACAACGACGGCGACGACGACGATTGCGACGACGACGACGGTGGTGACGACGACGCCGACGACGTTGACGGCAACGAGGACGGCGACGGCCACGACGACGATGGCGACGACAGCGACGACGACGACAACCAGCACGGCTGCAGCATGCTGTGTGGTGACGTCGACGCTGTCGTCGGAGGTCTGCACCGGTGCCTACCTGGCGCGCTCCGCGTGCCAGGGGCGGCCCGAAAGACCGCGTCGGCGACCCCGTCGTCCTTTTCGTCATCTTCGTCCTCCTCCTCCTCCTTCTCCTCCTCCCCCTCCTCCTCCTCCTCCTCCTTCTCCTCGTCCTCCTCCTCCCCCCCCTTGTCTTCCCTTCTCCTTCCTCGTCCTCCTCCTGCTTCCTCCCCTTCGTCCTTCCCCGAGGTTCGGACACTCATCTTTTCCAAGCCTTTTATCAAAATGCCTTGAGGCCGCCTTCAAGATGGTCCGAAATCTTCTAGTTCAGTTTGAAAGCGTCTCCAAAGGGGCCCTTATGTTTCACACTGGGGTGCTGAAGCTTCTCTGGGAGGCTCTGGGGGCTCTCCAACGGGCTCCAGGGTCCGTCCGAAGGGCTCCGGGAGCTCTCCCAGAGGTTGTGGGGCCTCCCCTCGAGGTTTTGGGCCCCTCGGACGTGGTGATACCTAGAAGACAGGCATGGGCAGCGCGATTGCGAAGGCTATGTGCCATCCAGACTGGAGGCGTGCCTCGGAAGAGATGCTTTCAGGATTTCTTCGGGCGGGAGGCCTGGATAAGGGAATATTGGGTCCCGTGTGCAAGAAAATATCCCCTTGAGAGTGGGAGCTATCATGATGAATGCATGTTGCATATCGATTCATAGATCATCCGGGTACATTGATTATTGTTGTTGTTGTGTTTGTTCTGATTGTGTTGTCGTTGCTGTGGTTGGTGATGTTGATGTTGTGGTGGTGGTTGATATTGTGTTTGTTGTTGATGTTGTCGTTGTTGCTGTTGTTGCTGCTGCTGTTGTTGTTGTTGTTGTTGTTGTTGGTGTTGTTGTTGTTGTTGTTGTTGTTGTTGTTGAACTCTCACTACTGAAGAAAAACTATTGTTGATCCCCCCTCTGATAACCATTGCGTTTCTACGCTTGAAGTTCTTCCCCCCCGGGGCTCGCATTTTTTCAGGGAAAGTCACTCGGCTCAAACTGGGTTGTTGATCCCGGGATTACAACAACAACAACAACAACAGCTCCCGCCTGAGACTCCCTCACAAGGTAGCAAGGACCCCCGCTCCCGCCTGAGACTTCCTCGCATTCTACGCGGGAGTTGCGCTCTCGCTTGGGCTTTCCCAATTGATTCAGGATTCGCTCTCTCGGCGCTCTGGTGTCGCGCTCTCGCTGGAGACTTGCTTGCAATGTACTCAGGAATCGCGCTCTTACGTTGGACTTCCCTGCCATTTACTCCAGCGCCGCGCTCCAGGCACTCAGGCACCCAGGAGTCGCGCTCACGAGTAGGACTCCCTCACAGCTTGCTTAGGAATCGGGATCTCGCTGCCCTTTGTGGCCCCGTTGCAGCCCTTCGTGGCCCTCTCGCTGCCTTTCGTGGAACCGTTGCAGCCCATCGTGGCACCCTCGCTGTCCTTCGTGGCCCCGTTGCAGTTCTTCGTGGCCCCCTCGCTGCCCTTCGTGGACTCGTTGCAGCCCTTCGTGGCACCCTCGCTGCCCTTCGTGCCCCCGTTGCAGCCCTTCGTGGCGCCGTTCGCTGTCATGCATGGCCCCGTTGCAGCCCTTCGTGGCCCCCTCGCTGCCCTTCGTGGCCCCGTTGCAGCCATTCGTGGCCCCCGAGCTGCCCTTCGTGGCCCCGTCGCAGCCCTTCGTGGCCCCCGAGCTGCCCTTCGTGGCCCCGTTGCAGTCATTCGTGTCCCCCTCGCTGCCCTGCGTGGCCCCGTTGCAGCCATTTCTGGTCCCTTCGCTGCCCTTCGTGGCTCCGTTGCAGCCTTTCGTGGCCCCCTCGCTGCCCTTCGTGGCGCCATTGCAGCCCTTCGTGGCCCTACGCTGCCCTTCGCGGCCCCATATATGTATGCCCTTCGTGGCCCCCGCTCGTTCGCGCCCTTCGTGGCTTCATGTGCATGCGTTTCGTGGCCCCGCTGTTGCCCTGCGTGGCCCCCTCGCTGTCCTACATGGCCCCGTTGCTGCCCTCAGTGGCCCCGTTGCAGCCCTCTGCGGCCCAACGTACGCCTGCCCTTCGTGGCCCCCCGCTCGTTCGCGCCCGTCGTGGCCCCATGCGCATGCCCTTCGTGGCCCCGCTGTCGCCCTCTGTGGCCCCCTCGCTGTCCTACATGGCCCCGTTGCTACCCTCAGTGGCCCCGTCGTTGCCCTTTGCGGGCCCGCATTATCTGCCCTGCGTGGCCCCCGCTCGTTCGCGCCCTTCGTGGCTTCATGTGCATGCGTTTCGTGGCCCCGCTGTTGCCCTTTGTGGCCCCCTCGCTGTCCTACATGGCCCCGTTGCTACCCTCAGTGGCCCCGTCGCTGCCCTTTGCGGGCCCGCATTATCTGCCCTGCGTGGCCCCCGCTCGTTCGCGCCCTTCGTGGCCCCATACGCATGCCCTTCGTGGCCCCGCTGTCGCCCTTTGTGGCCCCCTCGCTGCCCTTCGTGTCCCCTCTATTGCTGTCGCTCCCGCTCTCGCTCTCGCTCTCGCTTTTGCTCGTCGTCGTCATCGTTGCCGTCGTCGTCGTCGTCGTCGTCGTCGTCGTCGTCGTCGTCGTCGTGGTCGGTCCCCTGTCCGTCCGTCCCTCTTGGGGTCGGGTTGCCGCCGACCAGCGCTGCCGCTGGCCAGGCCGACGGTCCGCGGCCGTCCCGCCGCTCGCCGGGCCCGGCCTGCGGGGAAGGAATAGATACCCCCCAAAAGGGGCACGACCGAAGAAGAGGGCGGGTATCGAGGGTTTGGGAAGTTGACGTGGAATGACACTCGAGCAGATAAGAGCGAACAGTCTTACAATGATTAGTGTTGTTGCTGCTGCTGTTGTTGTAGTTGTTGTTGTTGTTGCTGCTGTTGTTCATCATCAGCTTCATTCCGTTTGATCAAGTGCGTGCGCCGGGGGCCCTGTGGAGGTGACCATGCCGTCCAACAAGCTCTGGACCCCAGACATTACCATCTTGAACGAAGTGGGCGGCCTGCACTCGATGTCCCTGGAGGCCTTCGCGCGCGAAGTGTTCTTACCCTCGCCATCCGGTCCTGCACTCCTCATCAGCATTCAGGCCCCCGGAGACCAGTACATAGGTAAACCAGGACACGGGAAACCACGGAAACGAAACCCTTTCCTGCAAAGTCACATTTTTCCGCACCCGTGCATTTTTGGTTCGCTGCACTGCAGGATTCGGGTTTGTGTCTGGGTTAAGGGGGCTCTTGCAGGCTTTTGGGGCCCGTGTCCGGGTTTATTCCGGCCATGTTGCAGTGCAGTCTGTTGTTCGTGCCGCCGTCTGGGAAAATTGGTTTCGAGGGGTGTTGGGTGTCCAGGTCTAGTGTGTCCAGGCTACGGGGCCCTGAAGCATCCCCTGCCTTCTCCCCCTCCTCCGCCGAATCTCAATCCCTCTACCCTCTCCCCCTACCTTCTCCCCCCAACTTTCTCCCTTTTCTGCCGCCTATACCTCGATCCTCCTTGCCGCTCACCGACTCCGATCAGTAACATGTTTGCTTGGCGTGTGGCGCCGCAGGTGCTGGCCCACCACGCCTCGGCGCGGCACTCCAACCCCAGGGGCCCCCAAACGGAGTGGTGGCCACACCGTGTGGTGAGTCTTTGGGGATTCGGGGTCACCGCACGGTTTTTGGGACCCGGGTCGTTCTCCGAGGACATCTCGGGCGGCTGGGGCCTCCGAGGTCCCAAAACCGTGCGTTGACGGACCGTGCGGTGAGGTCTTGGGGGATTTCGAGGTCACCGCACGGTCTGTCACCGCACCGTTCCGGGACTCCGAATAAGCACGCTCCAGCTCCCAGGCGTCAACGGTCCGAGCTGTTGCCAGCCTCTGGTCACAGAAATCGGCGCGCCCATGGGGGGCTCGTCTTACGAAGGAGAGTTCGTTCCCCGCAGCGAGAAGGAATGATTTTTCAGGGACATCATAAAACAACAACTTTTGACGGACAGATGTGTTACAGCAGCGTTGATGTATTTTGGCTTTCTGTACCCTTGTCCTCCTATTTCCCGTCCGACCCAACTCCGTTCAAAGCTGGTCACTCCTCCCAGCGTGCAACCCTCGTTGGTTTTCTCCCCGGATCGATCTCCCGCTCCCCAGAACCTGAAAAGGGGTTCGAGGAGGCAGGAGCGAAGACAGCTGGTACGAGTTTAGTGGGTATTCCTCATCCTATTTTTCTGCCTCTTCCCTGACACCCGCCGGTTTGTTTTTTTTGTTCAATCTTCTGCGTCCCCAGAGGTCCCAACCGCTGCCCTGGGGATGTGTGTTTCGGCTCTGGCCCACTTTGAGGGTCCTGGGCCCCGAGATCCGAGGCCCGAAAACCATCACTTCACTAATTTTGGGCCCCAGGGCCCACTGAGGCCCCAGGGGCCCCAGATTAGTGAAGTGATGTTTTTTCCAACGTAAGGGCCCCGAAATCCATCACTTCACTAAACCGAACCCAGGACGAAAGTCAGGGGCCGAATTGCTGCTGTGATGCAACATCGGTCTCGTACGAGAGGGCCCCGGAGGGCCGAAGTCGAGGAAACAGACCCCGATGGACCAAAAGCAGATCGTCGGAGGTTCGGGTGTCCCCCCGCCCTCTCGCAGTCCGCGACGGCCACGCCCCTGGTCCTGACGGACAACAACTTCCGGGTCCGGACCGGGGTCAACGTCCTGTGGTCGCACCCGGTCGACGTCCAGACGATCTGTGCTCCTGGGCCGCCGCCTGGCGTGCCGAGATGCTGTGGGGGGGGGAGGGGGGGGGGGCAGGATGTGGAGGGTGGAGGATCAGCAGGAGGATCAGAGGGACGAGGTGGAGGGAGAGAGAGAGGAGGAGGAGGAGGAGGAGGATCACAGGGAGGAGGAGGAGAGGAGAGGAGGAGGAGGAGGAGGAGGAGGAGAGAGGGGAGGAGGAGAGGAGGAGGAGGGGGAGGGGACCCTCCTCCTCCCCGCTCCTTCCTCCTCCTTCCCTCTTGCCTTCTCCTCCCCCTTCTCTTCCATCTCCTTCCTCCTCCTCCTCCTCCTCCTCCTCTTCAGCCTCCTCCTCGTCCTCCTCCTCCTCCTCCTCCTCCTCCTCCTCCTCTCTCCTCCTTCTCCTCCTCCTCCTCCTCCTCCTTCTCCTCCTCCTCCTCCTCCTCCTTCTCCTCCTCCTCCTCCTCCTTCTCCTCCCTCCTCCTCCTCCTCGTCCTCCCCCCTCCCTCATAGTTCCTTCATACTTTCCTCATAGTTTCGGCTCGGGCCAGTTGCTTGGGGGGTTTGGGTGCAGGCCTGCCTGCGATCCTCCCGCACAGTCCCGCCTGCGCGGAAACCAGCGCCCGCTGCACTGACGCTCGCCGCCGCCGAGGCGGCGCGGCACCACCGGGGGCGCCTGCGCCGCGCGCGGGCCCGGCTACTGCTGCATGCCTGGCATCGGCGGGCGAGACCCTCCTCCTCCTCCTCCTCCTCCTCCGCCTCCTCCTCCTTGTCCCCCTCCTCCTCCTCCTCCTCCTCCTCCTCCTCCTCCTCCTCCTCCTCCTCCACATCCGTAGCCATTTTGGCTCAAGCGAGCCGCGCGCTTCGGGAGGCCCTCGCCAGCGCGCCTGCTCGGGCGCAGGCGCGCAAGCGGCCATGGAGGACGTCGCCTTCTTCAGCAAGAGTTCCGGACGCCGCTGGGCTGCCGCGAGTGCGAGGACGCTCGCGCGTCGCCGTCGGCGGCAATATCGTCATGAAATCGGACTTTCGCGTGCTCAGGCGCTGCAGCGGCGCTTGGTCCTGCTCCGCGTTGGACTTACCGCCCACTGGGACCTGAGCGACGCCATCGGCGGCCACCACCCCAAGATGGGCGACGCCCTTGCTGCTGCCGATCTTCTGGGGGCTGTGTCGCCCGATCTCCTCGCGTTGGCGGCCGCAGCATGTGCTGACAGCAACTGGGCTCGGCACGCGCCACTACGCGACGCGCCTGCCATCCCCAAGATGCTGAACGGCATCAGCCTGGTCACTCTCGAGCTGTTCCGTGCCGCGTTATACCACGGCCAGTACGACTTCGAGCAGAAGACCGAGGACGACCTGCTGGGTGCCCTGCTGTGTGATGGCTATTTTCCTCACCCTGGCGACCCTCATTCTCCTGCAGATGAGCCTCCTGTGCGTGCAGATGTGCCTCATCGTGATGATGAAGAACTTCCTGGTGGTGCTTTTCCTGCTGAAGCGGTTCATGGCGTTTCTCCCGCCGGCCTGCCTGATGAGCTACCTGACGATCCTGGGGCTCATGGGCTACCTGATTTTCCTGGTGGAGCCGCTCTTCCTGAGCTACCTGACGATTCTGGTGGAGCCGCTCTTCCTGATGATGCTGATCTTCGTCTTCCTGCTCGTAGGCGTGACCAAGATCGATGCGCTGATCTTCATGGCGTGGGCGGTGCTCGCTGGTGGACTGCCCGCCAGGCCATCGCCGACGCCTGGCTGCTGCGCCCTGCTCGCGATGATCATGTCCTCCGCGCTGGGCCCGCGACTGAAGTTCAGAAACTTGCTGCTCCTGCCGCTGGTCGCGACAACATCGGGTTCACGTTCGCCACGAACTCGTTCCGACCTGGTTCGTCTGTCTACGACTCGTCTGGCGGAGACTGGTACGACAGCATGCCCAGTAGCTGGAGGCTGACGCCGCACCGCTCCAAGCGGGCTGTATGACGCCCCCCGCGCGCCTCAGTTGCCCTCCCCGCGACCTCCCCTCACTCCCGTCTGTGTGTCTTGTTGGGGGGCGGGAATGGGAGGGATGGAGGATGAGGAGGCTGTCTTGAGATCTCTCTCTAGTTGCCGCCCCGTTTGATATAATAGATTGTCCAGTGTTGGCGCTACCACACGTCCGAGGATGATCTTTTGAATTGCAGGTGCATTCGGGCCCTCGAGGTTTCGTGCCCCTGTTTGTCGGTCGTGGCCCTCCGCCTCGTTTCTGTCTGGGTTCCCGGGTCCGTCCCGCGTTCTCTTTTCGGTCCCCTTCGGGCCCCTTCGCTCTTCGTCGGAGCAGGAGTGATCGGCAGACGTTCACCCGCGAGCAAATCAAATAATCAAAAAAATCATCCTCCTCCCCTCCTCCTCTTCCTCCTCCTCCTCCACCTCCTCCTCCTCCTCCTCCTCCTCCTCCTCCTCCTCCTCCCCCTCCTCTCGCCTCCCGCCTCGAGGACGCGAGGCGCTTGCTGGACGAGCACCGCGGCTCGCAGGCGCCAGCCATGGCACAGCGGTCCACCGGCGATCGGCTCCGATGCGCCCGTTCTGAAGCGCAGCACGCACCGTGCTTACAACGTCCGTGCCAATACGTTGCGTGTTGGCTCAGCGTCTTGGCCCACTTTTGGCGAACGTATCGCGTCATATCTACGTTTTCTGTCTACGTGTCGAGCTCCGTATCGATACGCTACGTGTTGCGTGTTGCGTACCGGGGCAGCCATGGTCCTCCACGAACCGCTGGGGCGTGGCCTGGGTCAAGTGGGGCGACCAGAGGACATGCGCGAAGTGTGGCATCGCCAACGGGCAGTGCTTCGGCGAGCTGGTACTGGCTTCGAAGCCCTCGATCTCGACCGCGGGTGCGAAGCGGGTCGCCGAGCTCAACAAGAAGATCGTGGAGCTGGAGAGGGCGCTCACGGCCAAAAGCCAGGGTTAAGTCGGGCCTGTCCCTCTACAGGAGGAATATTCAAAAACTGTAAGAAAACATCAGGGGCCGATTTTTCGAGAATTGTTTGAATATGTTTCTGAGTGGTTTTTGAATAGTTGCAATTTTTCGCTTCGAAATCCGCCTGTAGGGGGACATGCCCGACCTAAGCCAAAGACCAGGGTAAGCGCCATGGCGAGGGGCTGGCCGAAGGTGCCTGTAATGGTGGTGAGCCATGTCGGGCGCAGGAATTCCGAGCTCGTGGGGGACCTCAAGACGTTCCGCGGCGTCCAGGGCGCGGAGAGCAGCTCATCGGCCAGAAGCAGGGGCTCATCAAGGAGGTCCGGGCTAAGCGGCTGGCCTTCGAGCCTATGCGCAACGAGATCCACATCTTGGGTGGCCAGAGAAGGCTATCGCCTGTTCCGCCAACTGGCGAAGCGTGCTGCTTGCCGAGATCGTCGAGAAGCAGACCAAGATCGCCGAGTTGGAGGAGGAGGGGATGGCCGAGGAGCAGCGCAAGATCGCGGAGCTCAAGCAGCAGCGTGCGGAAGCCGCCCCGGTGTCGGCGGCTGCATCGTTCGCCTCCCCGGCCTTCGGAAACATCACCCGGGATGAGCAGGTGGAACTCGCCGAGGACACGGAGGAGGAGGAGGAGGAGGCGCAGGAGGAGGAGGAGGATGATGAGGAGGAGGGGGAGGAGGAGGAGGAGGAGGAGGAGGAGGAGGAGGAGGAGGAGGAGGAGGAGGAGGACGTTGCTGCAGGTGGAGAAGCAGGGGCGGCTCCGCGCGGCGGAAGCGCCACGAGGAGAAAACCCGCCGGGCCTGCGCGGCCATCACCAAGTTGGTCCCGCAAGCAGGGCGGAGGTGAGCGGGGCGAGCAACGCACCGCCCACGGCCCGGGGGCCGCGTGCCGCCTAGTCGCGGCACGACCACTGCAAGGGAGGTGCGAGGAGCTTGGGGCGGCAGGAGGGGAGCCGCCGAGGATGCGCCGGGGGGCGAGTCGGCGCGAGGAGGCGCGAGGAGGTTGAGGCGGAGGTGACAGGAGGCCCTGCGGCGAGGGGCCGTGCCTCCTGCCCCGGCTGCGAGGAGGCGTCGCGCGGAGGAGGCGGCGTGAGGAGGCGCGAGGAGGCGGGGGGGGCGCGAGGACCTGCGGTGCGGAGCCGCGCCTCCCGCCTCGGCGTCATGGGTGTCAACATCAGCCCTCCTCCTCCTCCTCCTCCTCCACCTCCTCCTCCTCTTCATTCTCCTCCTCCTCCTCCTCCTGCTCCTCCTCCTCCTCCTCCTCCTCTTCCCCTCCTCCTCCTCCTCCTCCTCCTCCTCCTTCTCCTCCTCTCCTCTTTTTTCCTCCTTCTCCTCCTCCTCCTCTTCCTCCTCCTCCTCCTCTCGTCCTCCTCCTCCCCTCCTCCTCCTCCTCCTCCTCCTCCTCCTCGTCCTCCTTCTCCTCTTCCTCCTCCTCCTCCTCCTCCTCCTCCTCCTCCTCCTCCTCCTCCTTCCTCCCCCTCCTCCTCTCTTTCGCCTCCTCCTCCTCCTCCTCCTCCTCCTCCTCCTCCTCCTCCTCCTCCTCCTCCTCTCCTCCCCCTCTTCCTCCTCCTCCTCCTCCTCCTCCTCTCCTCCTCCTCCTCCTCCTCCTCCTCCTCCTCCTCCTCCTCCTCCTCCTCCTCCTCCTCCTCTCCTCCTCCTCCTCCTCCTCCTCCTCCTCCTCCTCCCCTCCCCCCTCTCCTCCTCCTCCTCCCCTCCTGCTCCTCCTCCTCTTCCTCCTCCTCCTCCTCCTCCTCCTCGTCCTCCTCCTCCCCCTCCTCCTTTCCTCGAGTGGTGGGCAGCTGACGGTGGCGGGTGCCTGACCTAGGCTGTGGAGTGCCCGCAGGCCGCTGGCGGTCGGGAGGGCCAGGCGGCTGGCGCTAGCCACGGAGACGGCACGCAGCGCATCCGGCTATCGCGCCTGTACGTCCAAGAGACGCGCCAAGTCTGAGGGGGCGCTGCTTGGCGCTGCCAGCCTGGCCAGGGAGTGGAACTGTCAGGCTTCTCTGGGCAGGGCGCGCTGTCTACTGGGCCAGGGTCGCTCGAGAGCTCTGGCGGTGTTGCCGCGCTGGTCCACCGCGAGGTGGCATCCACGCCACTCTACGTGAAGAATCTGGAAGAGTACGAGCACCGTGTCATCGGCAGGGTGCTTGACCTGGACCTGCCTGGCGGGTTAGCCCTCCTCTCCGTCTACGCCCTGACCGGCGTCGGCATCAAGGGCAACATCGACCTCTGGAGCTTGGTGAAGATGGTGTTGGCCCTCGACAGGAGGTGGGTCATCCAAGCCGATTGGAATATCTCGCCGGAGGAGTTGGAGTCGTCCAGGTTCCTGCAGGCCGCGCACGATGTCGTGGGGGCGGGGCAGCGTGCGACGTACTGGAATGGCAGCGGTGAGGTCTGGCGTGACGCGGACGCGAGCGCCACTCCGCTCGAGGCGGCGGACGGCAGGCCGGTGCACGTGTTGGACTACTTCGTTCTTCCGCAGGCGCTGGCAATGTGCGTGGCAGCTGTACGGGTGCTGCCAGAGGCCCTGGTCCACCCGCATGTTCCCGTGCTCCTTAGCCTGGAGGGGCTGCGGTAGAAGAAACAAGCACCATACAAAGAGAAACTTTTGGCGCTCCGCGCGGATTCTTGGGTCCCGCTGAAATTCGTGCGGGGTCTTTACTGCAGCTACGCGGGGCTCCGCGCGGTGCTGTACGCGGTCTGCATCTTGCCTCAGTTCGAAGCCATGGCTGCGGTGGTGGCCGGCTGCAGCGGGGCTACTGGGGCCGCTGTGGGCCGCCAGGGTCGAGAGGCCTGCGGCGTCCATCCGCAACGTGGGAGACGATATCATGCGTCAGTCCCGCTCGCGGCTGCCACGGGGAAGACGGCGCCCGACGCTGAGGACTACGCAGCCCAGGTGTTGCAGTTCGTCGCCCATGGAGCTCTACCTGGACTGCGGCAACACGCTGCGCGTGCTCCACGGGGAACCCAGCGCGGGCTGCGGCGCGGGCGACCCGCGGTCCCACCGGTGGGGCTCGCTCTTCCCGGGGGGCCTTCACGCCAGACGACTTCGTGGCCCACAAGGCCCTCGGGCGCGCCACTGCCGCGGACGTGGACGCAGGGCGGTCCACGCACTGGGAGCGGCGGGTCGACCGCCGCGCAGACGAGGTGGTCAAGGCAGGGGCCCACTGCCGCAGCGTCTCCGCAGAGGACGGAGCGCGCTGGCACGGGCTCTTCGACCTTGCGTCTGGAAGGTGCGCGCTGGTGCGCGGAGCCGGCAGCGCACATGGCCGACGCGGGGCTCGTGGACCACGACGACGTGCTGCACCCGAAGCAGGAAGCGCCAGCTGCAGCAGGCGCCGCCCCCGCGGGGCCGCCTGCCGCGGGCATGGTCGGTCGATGTTGGTCTGGATGCGGCCTCCCTCCGCGGAGCGCCTTGCCCGCGCCGCGCAGGCGCGAGGCGAGGGTGGGCTGGCATCTCCTGGGCCAGGGGCAGGCGTGCTTAGCGTCGACCCCATCTCGATGGTCTGTTCGCGGCGGCGACGCGTGCTCGGGCCATGCTCTGCTCCAGTGCGACGTGCTTCAGGAGCCAAGTGAAATCCTTGCTTCGGGCTGGCAGAGCGCGACCTGCCCTGGGTGCGCGAAGGGGGCCGCCAGGCTGCCGCGGGCGGCGACCCGGCAGGGGAGTCGGACGCCGGCTGCAGCGACAGCGAAGGCGGCGGCTGAGGGGGGCTCGGCTGCGGGGATCTTCGCAGCCCCTCAGGGGCCACACGCCATGCCATGCCGTGCTTCCCCCCCCCCCTTCCTCCTCCCTACCGGCTCTCTTCTTCCGTGTTCCTCTTCCTCCTCCTCCTTTTGTCACCGTTCCTTCCTTAGCTATTCCTTTTTTCTTCTCGCCTCTCATTCCCCATGCTACGGCCAGGGACGTTCGCTTAGCGTTGCATGTCGCTGGGTCGCTAATCATGTCTCAGTCCCAGATCGTCAACGTACCGATCCTTTTCCAGCTTCTCGCCCCGCGGAGCGGAGGGACACGCTATCAGCTTGCAGGACATAGCGTGTCGCTGGTGCTGCCGCCGCCGCGACGCGCTAAGCTAACGTTCCGGACCGTTTATCTATCGTTGTGCATATGTATATATACAATTATGTGTGCATGTTCATATACATATATATATATATGTATACACAGATCAGGCTATCCAATATGAGGAAATGCATGCCAAGGCTCATACAACAACCAATGGGGGGGGTCCGATTTGGCTGCCGCAGGTTGCGGCTCGACATCATGTTAATAAACACCTCGTAGGGGCTTAGAACCAACGGTTCGAGCAACGTCAGAGAATTTCAGTGTGATTTGAAGAACGACCTATATTGGTCTCGCACGTATGTGCAACCTCACTGGGTTCCAGTGTGTTTTTTAGAAAGATGTAAGTACAACCAGCTGAAACACTATAAGGCAGCACTTGAACACAGCAATGGTTTGATACCAGTGAGGTTTAAACCATTTATTTTACCATTGATGGAAGGTGTTATGTGAACGTTTTGGGGGTTCCTCTGTGCTGCTGGGTCCTGTCGTCGCTATCTGCGTGGGGGGGGGGTCGATTTTAAGAACTCCGAGGTTGTCCCGATTGAAACGGCCACGCAATTCGCAAATGGACGACACCAACAATCGCCTCTGAGCTCTATTATGGTGGGCCAGTTGACAATCAAGGGGCGCCCTGCGGGACGAAGCGCCCAGAGGGTTTTGTGCTGTCGCGGAGGGTCTTGTGGGGATCGTTCCTCCTTTTCCTCCCCCATATCTCCTCCTCGTCCCGCTCCTCCCTCCCTTCTCCTTCTCTTTCCTCCTCCTCTTCCTCCTCCTCCTCCTCCTCTTTCCTCATCCTCCTCATCATCACTCGTCCTTCTCCTCCTCCTCCTCCTCCTCCTCCTCCTCCTGTATTCTCCTCCTCCTTTTTCCTTCTCTTTCCCTAGGGCCCTAGGGGATAGAAGGGTTCCTGCCTGCATTGGGACAGAGCAGTGATGCCAGATGTCTCGATGGCAGGAGCCTCCTCCAGCCAATAGCAGAGCTTGATCGTTTTCGTCCTTACAGTTTGTGGCAGACATGACTTCGGTTGCGCGGGCCCATGCGCGAGCGTTGGCGGATCGGCGCTCGCTCGCGACAGAAGGCTAGCAATTTCGGTCTTTGTTGAACGCCTGCTCCCTGAAGTGAACACGCCTCCCCGTGTTTGTTTCTGCCAGCGTCCTGGGACCCTCCATCGCCAATCTCCTCGCCAAGCACCCCCTACCTCACAGGTTCGGCCAGGATGAACGACTACCCGTTCGACGTCCAGGAGTGCGAGATCGTGGTTGGCTCCTGGTCGTATTCCAACAGGCGGGGCTCCAGAACAGGGGCCAGCGCACGCGCACGCACACACATTGGGCCCTGTCCGAAACACTGGACGATTCCCACCGGACTCGTGAAACTAACGCGGTAACTTAAGCGCTCTGAGGGGGCGCGTGAGTTTCGGCAAGAGCCTGGGTGCAGGAGGGAATCCAAACCCTCGCGCTCCTCTTCTGGCCGCTCCGACCGCCGCCGTGGCGTCCGACATCTTCCTCCCGCGCGCATGTGTGTGTGTGTGTGTGTGTGTGTGCGTGCGTGCGTGCGTGCGCGCGCGCGTGTGTGTGTGTGTGTGTGTGTGAGTGTGTGTGTGTGTGTTTGTGTGTGCGTGCGCGTGTGCGTGCGTGCGTCTGTGCGTGCGTGTGCGTGCGTGCGTGCGCGTGTGTGTGTGTATGTATGTGTGTGCGTGTGCGTGTGCGTGTGCGTGTGCGTGCGCGCGCGTGCATGTGTG